TCCCGTCCCGCCTGAGGCGGTTCCCGTTCGCGCCAACTCCGCGCTCCGCGTCCCCCTGGGCAGGGCGGCGGGGGCGGGGCCGGCAGGGACGCACGGCGCGCGACGGCCGCCGGGAGTTGCAGTTCCTGAGCGCTCAGGGAACGAAGGCAACTCCATTTCCCGTCTGTCCTCGGGAGGCGGGGCGCGGGTGCGCGCGCGTGGTGTGACGGGTATTGTAGTTCCCGCGCCGTGCCTAGGACGTACGGCAGGAGGAGGGCCGGAGGAGATAAAAACTACTACGATGGCGGTAGGAGAGGTTGCCGGGAGGGGGTACGGCGGCCCGAGAGGCCACACTGCGCTCGCGTCGGGGCGGCGGAGCACACGCGGAATCGGCGGAGCGAGTGCTGAGTCGGTGCCGCCGCCGGCTCCCCCCTCACCCGGGAGACGCTTCGGGGCCGCAGAGCCTTGTGGGGCCGCCACAAAATGGAGGCGAACGGGAGCGGCAGCGGGAGCAGCAGCGACTCGGCTCCCGACTGCTGGGACCAGGCGGACATCGAGCCGGGCAGCGGCGCCGGCCCGGGCTGCGCCCCGCCGGCCGCGGAGGCCGAGGCGCAGCAGGAGCTGCTCGGGGCGGCCTTCAGCCGGCAGCTGAACGTCAACGCCAAGCCCTTCGTGCCCAACGTCCACGCCGCCGAGTTCGTGCCGTCCTTCCTGCGGAGCGGCCCGGCGCCCGGCCTGCCGCCGCCCTCGCCCCCGCCCGGCCTCCCGCCGCCGCCGCCGCTCGGTAAGCGCGGGGCCGGCACCGCGGAGGGCGAGGGGGGCGGGGAGGGATGGGGGCCATGTTGGGAGGGCGCCGGGCCCGCGGCGGCCGGGCAGGGGCCGGGCCGGGTTCCGGGGCCAGGCGGGAGCAGCCCCGGCCGCGGGAGGGGCACGGCCGGGGCGCCCTGCGCGGAGCGGCGCTGGGGAGCGGGCGGGGGGCAGCGCAGCGGAGCCGCCGCCGCCCGAGGCAGCCCCGAGCTGGGGGAGCCGCGGGTGCTCTGCCCGGCGGGCAGCGGAGCCGGGGTGCCCCGGCTCCCTGCGGGTCCCGTGCGCGTTGCGCCGGGACCTTTGCTCGCCAAGGGTCACCCGTGATGGGGAAAAAAACACGTAGCTCTGCTCTTCCTATAATATATAAAATAAGTACAATATTTGTAATATGTATGCTATATAACGTGTAATTGTAGGAGCTGTCGAGGATTTTGGAGGTAATAAATTTAGTGTTGCTGGGAAGAAAAGCACGGCTTCAGCCACCAGTGGCTCAGATGTATCTTAAATGTCTTTTTGAAGATTATATCAAGTGATTTATTTTTTTTCCTAACATAATGTCGATAAAGGATTAGTAGGGAAGGGAGTTTTGTCCAGCTGGCCTCAGCTAATGGAATAACCTGAAATTTACCCTGCTTTTAATTTCAAAGGATCTTTGTGTACACAACCAATGTTTATACTAGATTTACTTTGCATATGGGAAATTAAAGGAGGACTAGTTCTTCATTTTCAGCTCCAAACTGAAGGTTCTTCCAAACATCAGACATGCTCCTTAACTTTGTGGTAGTGTTTTAATGTCACTCCTGCAGCTAAGGAGTTTGAGATCTTCCTAATTTTTCCTATAATTTTCTGTATCCCTATTGGCATAATATGAAACAAGCTAGTGTTTCAGGTATTTATCTAGTAATTTAATTTCACTAAAGACACTACTTGTTGCATTATGTTGGCCTGATTTCCTGTTGGTTGTGCCTTGTTTTTTATTGTATTTTGCCTCAATAATTAATTGGTCTTGATCTCCCTAGTATCTAAATTTAATAGTTGTTAAGAACTAAAATCTGTAACTTTTATATGTGACACTTTAACATTTTTGTAACAGAATATTAACCTGTTCTTTATGTTAGATTATATGTTCTCTACAGCTGTTCAGCACTCCTGATTTTTAGCAGAAGTTGTAGCTCATGTACTGTGCAGGCAAGTAGTGTCTAAGTGCATTAAAATAAACTTCAGAGAAGCCATGGGCAGACTCTTGAATTCCATTTAGAATAAAGGTATATGTTAAAGTTCACAGATGCAGAGGTAGACTGGGTAGCTTGGGGCTGTGATGAACACATGGTGCACCCTTGACTAATCTTCAAAATCCATTCCTGTATTGCAGATATTACAATCTGAATCAAAGGTTTGGGTTTTTAGCTATGTAACCAATATTGAAATTTTTTTTAGTGTTTTGATTTTTTTTTTCCTCCAGGCTGCTTTTTAAGATTTCATCTAAGGCATTCTATAGTTAATTTTTTGGTAGGAATTCAAACTACATCTCCTCACCTACTCATTATTCTTCATTCTTCTTTTCTCCACTCTTTTGCTACTTCTGCAGCCTGTGATGAGCTTCTTCTTTCCAGAAATTAAGGATGGCTTGAAAACTGTCTGATATTCTGGAGTGATCAGGATAGCTTTGTTTGTGTCTTCCTTGCTGAAGTACATTTCCTACATAGTGCTATCATCTACCTGGTTTGAATTTACCTTGATTGCTGTATCTTCTTTAAGGCTTAGGATTTTGAGTTTCTCTAAGTAGCTTCAATATCCCTAAGATTAGGCAGACAAAAACCTGCAGTTAAAAAAATTCTGTTTCTTTCCTAACTGGAGTACTGTACTTGCTGGGTACCCCTCCGGGTCTGATGTGCTTGGTTACAGAAGGTAATTGACAGTCTTCTCCTTGCAAATGTTTGTATAAGGTGACAACTACTTTCCTGGCTGGAAGAACTAGGTGGAGCTTGCTCTGGAAATAAGTCAGAAGAACATGTGATTAGACAATGGTGCTGAATAGGTTACTTTTCAGCAACCCAGTTTGCTTTTGTTCCCATAGGGAATTAGGTGCTCTGTGACACTCATTCTTGATTACATAGTTTGTAGTGGGAAGAACCTAAATTAGCCTTGACAGATCTAAACCTTAAGAAATCTAAAAAGTTGGGTGTCACTTGAGGCATTTCAGTGGCCTAAAGTTCTAGTAATGCTTTTCTTCTTGGAATTTTCTCTTGGTGAGGTTTTGTTCAAGTCATAATTCCTTAGTAATTCAAAGGCCATTTTATATCAGAATAAATGTGTAGTAGCAGCATGGCATATAAAAATTCCACAGGAGTGATTCCATTGTGTGGCTGCAGTATGTAATAGTGTTTCCTTTCATACACACTAACTTAATGCTTCTAATAATTTGAATAAAATTCCTGTCATTTATGTTTAGAGCACAGAAGGAGCACTTCCAGAAGCCATTTATGGAATAAGATGTTCACTTTCTAGAACTGGGAAACTCCTGAGACCTGCATTCCTAATACTTACTTTAAAACTGGTTTACAGATGCTTTCTTTTGATTGGAAATTGTATATTAGGAAGAAAGCTGACTGATGTTTGCCACCAATATAACTTACACTCAGAGATCATTTCATTCCAAAATAATTACTAAACTATAATTTGATTATATGGGAAAAGCATATTATTTACATTTTTGAGCCTAAGGAATATACTAAAAGCAGTATGTTTTAAATGTAGCTATGAGGACTTGCATTTATCAAATTGTGTCCAAGTCAAACCCATTTGTGTAAAATCTTTTTTTGTTGGATTCTGTTGGAAATGTGAAATGAAGCCTTTTAGGTTTTTTGTCTGTGACGGCCATGGCTGCAGCACAGTTATGTGCCAGGTGAACTGGGAGGGAGTCACAGACACGTTGTACTTCTGAGGAGACTCTCTGGCAGTTGCTGGACTAGCAAACTGAACTAAATTAAGGCCATTTGTGATAATGAAATGATAGTAGCTTGTGTTAGGGCCTCAAAACATTCATAGTCACAACTGTGCCTTGCAACTTCACTCTTAAGTTTCTATGACTTCTTTTGGTACTAAATGTCATTACTTTTGTAGATGTATGTAGCAGAAAATAAGATTTCTATTTTTTTTTTTTTAATTGGGTATGAGAGAATCAAAACATTTTTACAAATGCAGCATCAATCTGCATTTTTGTGGTTCAGTTTTTGTCATAGTTCTTGAATACTCACAGGATTCTTGGTAAAATTTATCACAGCTTCCTTGTATGGTCTTTATTATATTTTGTGTTAGTTTTTCTTTTCAAAAATAATTTTAAAGTATTCACTGTTGAATCTGCTTGGAGCAGGAGACTAAACTAGCTAACTCCTGGGATCCCTTCCAACCTGAATTGTTCACTGATTTGAAGTATGCAGTGGTAGTAGCAAGGGAAAAAGCATCATTAGTATGAAAGTAATAAGAATTAGAAGTGTGACACACAGCAGTGGGTGTAAGGAAAGCATTTGTCTTTCTGGTAGTATTAGGGCTACTGTTTAATTTGGTCATGCTCTTGACCACTTCAAATCAATCTCTAAACATCTTTGTTAATGACTACAGTTTAAACAACTTGCCCCTGCAGTCCTGAGCCAAGCAAACATCTGGCTTAAGATTCAGTGCCCCTGTTTGCTTCACTTCCTAAATATCCTCACTTGCCTGCAGTAGTCACTTCTGAAACAGTTGCATTCAAGCAGCTGGACATCCTCAGCCTTCAAGTGCTGTAAATAAATGGATATAGCATTTTTCTTCCTGCTTTTCCCTGCCCTCATTTTTTCTGACCTTGTAGCAGCTGGGATGTGCATATGTCAGTCAGACACAAGAGGTGGAGTTTCACCATCATCTACTTTAGCTCTGAAACCTGTAGTTTCTAGAGCAGGATGATGAGTTATCTGTACTGCTGTGTTCTCCAAAGCCTGGTATCTCATTTTACACTGTGAGACTCTTCAATGTCTCAGTCCTCAAGAGACTTCACTTTGCACGTGAACTTGCTAAGAAAGGCTTGTCTAAGACTAGTAGCCCACAGTTCAAGAAGCTGTTGTGTTAAAGGGTTACATGGTTTTTCATGTCAGCCTTGGAACAGCCCTGTGCTGATGATTTCTTCACCAGTGCTGGTAGGGTTATTGTTAGTCCTTCAGAACTGCAAACTTCCTGCTCACATGGCAGCAAATCAGGGTTGTATTGTCAGCACCAGTACATGGGATAAATTCTTCTTATCTGAAAATCTTGATTTGAGTTGGCACTTGACTATCTAGAGCAGTCTCTGTATCAGCTTCTCTAGACAGGTGAGCTGTACAACCACTTCTGAAAGAGTGCAGAGAAAGGCTGGATGTCTTGGCACTGACAGTGATCAGATACAACATACCTGTGTGATGCACTCAGGGTGCCACTGTGTTACACAGATGTCCTTTGTCTGCATCTAAAGTGTCCCCAGGAAGGTGGCCAGGATTGTGTTGCTCCTGTTAGAATAATTCATCACCCTCGTGGCCTTGCATGACTTCAGTAAAAGACACACAAAGCCCTGGGAGTCGGCTGTGCACTGCATGAGCTGTCCTGGGGGCTGAGGCAGCCTGCTGACCATGTGTTTGGCACTCTGCTTTGGGCTACTGCTTGAATGTGTTTGAAAGCATGATGTTATCTTAAAACTTGATTGCTCTATCAAAATGAACACAAAAATAAATTGGGATAATTCTTGGATTCTATTTATAATATGGTTTTACAGTTCCACTTAAGGACTTTTGGAATTTTTTCTCCTGTTTTGTGATGAGAGATGATAGGCAAGGAAAAGAAGCAGCTGATTGTATGAAACTAAGATAGAAAGATGGTTTTACTTTGTGTTTTTTATTATGAAGGAATAAAGTAGTCATAATTTAATTCATTAAATTGATGACTATATTTTGAAGAGGTCTATGAGAAAATGACAGTGATTGTATTTCATTACAAAAGTAAGTTTAGGACAGGAGATACAATACTAAAAATATGACTCATACTAAAGATACTGGATTATGAGAGATTTTTGTCAGAGTGGAATCCTGAACTGTTGAAATACTGAGCTTGGTTTCTTAATTATCTGTCTTAAAAATCAGGTTATCAACTTAGCACAAATACTTGACCTTAAGCAAAAGAGGACTTCAGTATATTCCCTGAAAATCCCCATAAGCTTTTTTAAACTTAGTTGTTAAGAAGCATGTTGAGTTTAGATAAGATAAACTTAAGGTGTGTCCTCACTGAAGAAGAAAGAAGGTGGACCTTTACTAAGCTAACATGTAATAAAATCCCATGAATATGAAACAAGTGCTAATTTTTTGGTGAATTTTACAGAGTCACATTAAACTATTAAAGCTGCTTTTGCTGTGCTGCATTTTAAAAACTGATGTGTCCACTGGTGAAGCTGGGGTATAGGCTATAAAGCAGGGCAGAGAGGAGAACATAATTTTGGGTTAAACTTTCAAAACAACTGCCTTGCAGTGAACTCCTCAAAACCTTTTCTTCCTATACAGTTTTAAGTATTGGATATAAAGCACTTTGTTTGGCTTTATTTGTGCTTGACGTAATTTTTGTGTGTTTTGTTATCTAAGAATCTCTTGGGGCTTTTTTTATTCTGCTTTTCAAGCTGTGTGTGTTTGATGCGGACCTTTTTTTTTTTTTTTTTTTTTTTTTTATTTCCCTTTTTTTTTTTTTTTTTTTACTCTTCTGTAATTCCCTTTATGCTTTCATTTTAAAAAAGGGGGGGCAAACATCTGTTATGTAATGCATGAAAACTGTTGAGACTGTATGACTTGTGTAAATATGTGCTGAACTCAGGTATTGTAATTACACATACAAAAAGGTGATGGGAATCCTGAGGTGGGTGTCATATTCACTCTTCAGGAATCCTTGTGAAGGAACTTGATACCTGTATTAGAGAAGCAATAACAAATTCACTATACAGGCATCTAAGTTTTTAGATAAGATGTTTATTTCAGGCTGAATTTGCTTCTTCTATTTTTTTTACTTTTTTTTAATCTCTCTGCTGTGTGGTGCAGAGTTTCATTAACTCTGTAGTCTACCCCAGCTGTGAGGTTCCAGTCCTGTCCAGGTTCTTATCACTTCAACAGCAGAGCAGGCTGGGAGCTCAGTGCTGCTGTGTATTGCACCAAATTTATGCTTCTCATCGATTCTGTGAAGGCATTTGCATTGTGGCTCAGGTTTGCTGCTGAAGAATTACCAGTTAACCACTGGCAGTTCTTACTCGTGTGGAGACCTTTTTCAGCTTTTTCTGTGCATCTGGTAAACACTGAGGTTTGTGTAAAAATGGAGGTTGTTGAGTTTGACTTTTTGTTTTAACCACTGTTCTAATATTTATTCCTACTTTGCCAGCTGTACTTGTTCTAGATATGAAAAGCTTGCTACATCCTTAATTAAAAAGCAATTTTCTGTTGTTTATCTGCAAGCATTTTAATATGTTAATGCTGCAAAGTTCCTGGCTTATAGTCTTAAAACAATATTTTCAGAGGTTGGATGATAACTTCAAATTTGTTGTACTTGTGCAGCTTTGGTTATTGTACAACAAAAAATGCAAACAAGTACAAAACCTAGTGTGATACACAACAAACTCATCAGCTGTAGTAGAATGCTGTGTGAATGAAGTAGGCAGAGTGGATTCTTTAGGACATGAGATGTATTTTAAAGAGATCAGTCACCGTGTTTTACAAGTTGTGCAATATTGGATTCTGTATTGGTAGTGTACATACTCTTCTAGTGAATTTTACATTTTAAAAATCCCCACAATTACCTTTTCCAGACAAGACTCTGAATTACATAATGTCATTGTGTGATGGCACCAGTAGATAAATGCAGCATCTGTATCCATTTTTACCCTTGGCATTGACAACAGAGATATTCCATAAAATGTCCTAAGGCTCTGATGTTAAGCAGGAGTAAAGATAAGCCACTCACTCCATGTAATACTGTGGATAAGGTTGCAACAGCAGTTCTTGACTTAGGGCTTGAAGGAGAGATGGAGATGGTGAGGTGTAAAATCCATCAGCTGCTTGTCACGTGTAAATCTAATAATTTGAGGCATTAAAAAATTGGCGTCACTTAAGGTATGTCCTGACTTTAAAATCAGATTTCCTACAAAGTATGTTTTGAGTCCCTCTCATATGAAACATTCCTGTCTGGATGATCTTCACAAACAAGAAGAGGTGACAGACCAAAATGCTAAGGAAGCAGTAGGATTGCATCCTTCTTTTCAGATGATGGTCTTAAGGCACATTTCAGGCAATTTGTTCACTTCCACACAGAGTGTGGTAAATATGAGCCTTTGTCTGAAATAACCTGACATAACCTGAAATTGTTTATCAGAAGTAGACCATTACTGTGGAGACTGTTTATTTTTGTCACTCAGAGTATGTTAGTTTTGAAATTAGGGTTCTTTATTTATTTACTTGGTTTCTTAACAATATTTTTTTAGTGAGTGGTTTATGTTTCTTTCTGCTTTGAAGAAACGTGTATGATACAATTCAGTGTCCTCTTCCAAAGCATGTCTGCCACTTGTGTGCCAAAGTGGCCAGAGTTTAATAAATGGCTGTGGTTATAGCTGAATATCTGTTGCCCCCTGGTTGTGTACACTAGTACTCTGTAGCATCCATGCACAAACTGTCTTATTGACTCTCATGTGCTAGACTGGTACAAAATTTACAGAGGGACCTTTTTTCTACTTCCTCTCTGTTGGCTGTGAAGAAACTTCTTTCCTGCCTGCATACCTGCTGTATTGCAGACCAGAAAGTAAAAACTGAGTTTATATGACAATATATTTCTCAGAAATTAACTAGCTCTCCAACCACTCACAGAACTTCTGTTCCAAGGCAAGTGCATTAATACTGCCATTTGATACATGTTTCATTACAGGCAAAGTTCTGGAGTGAAATCAAAAGCTTGTTAAAATGATCTTATAATTAAAATATTTATGCATCCCAACCACAGTATGTGTGAAATAGCCAACGATCTTCTGATGTGCTACAAAATGGAGGCCTTAGGTTCATACCTAGATTTTGTGCAACCTGCTTGCCACACTGAAAAATGTGCTGCTTGGCGTCTTTTCCAGCTGCCAAATGAAGTGATAGATCGTTTCTTTAAAAGGATCTAAGGGTATTCTATTCTTACGCTTTTACTGATTATATTAAATCATTCTCTTCGAGTGTGGCTGGTTTGTTTTTGGGAGTGTAGCTCGTGTGTGATCCAAGACAGGAGTGCAGGGAGTCGGGCATTGCTGTGCCCCCTCCCCGGTTTGCTGCTGGCCACTGGCTGTTGTGCTGTGACCCACATTCACCCAGCCTGCAAAGCCCTGTCCTCTGGCCCCCTGCCAGCTCGCCCAGCACTGCTCCACTTCAGAGGAGTCTGCAGCAAATACGCAAACAGTGCGAAAGCAAAGAGGCTTAGAATCAGGTCCTTCTCTGTATGGCTTTGTTCTTTTGAGGGGATTTGTTTCATCTTTAGGTCCCATCATGCGTATAGAGCAAGTGATGCTCTAAGATCTGTGTTCAGAACTCAGTTGAAGGAGAGCCGGAGTACAGCTAAACAGAGGGTATGAATATTGTATGTGGTTGAAAAAAAAGATAACTTGTTTCCCAAGAGAAAACGAAATAGGTTAAGGTTTTATGTATAGTTATAGAAGGCCCCTTGATCATGTGAAATAACATCCCAAAACATTGTGAGGTGCAAGTGTTAATTGCAATGTATCGTTCCTGGTAGATTTAATAATTAGTTACACCTCAACATAAAATGTAGTGGCATGGTTGAGTGCATGAATGGGTTGAGTAATTTATCCAACAAACCATACCTGTGGCTTTGATAGATATGCCTGACCAGTGAGATTGCCCTCCACGTAATGGGACTGTGCTCTAGTGTTTAAGAGGACTGGCAAACTTATCAGACATCTGAATGAATTTATCATCTCTTGACTTAGTAACTACAGAAGATGTTAAGAATTTGTTTTTAATAGCTCGTTTCTATTTTCTACTCAACATTTAGTGGAAGAGAGGCACAAGAGCAGTGTAGATATGACTGTAAGCAGCTGCTGGCAGACCCTTTCCCTGTATTTGTGACACTACATTGTGTCTTTGGATACTATGAAACTGCTTTGATATTTTTGAACACCACTAACACCAATAGCCAGCATGCTCAAAAAGGATGGGCAAGTAAAATACTGTGTATAGAAAAATTGCTTTAAGTCTATCTTTCCATTCAGGTGGGGAAAATGGGTTGTTTTTAGAAGTGGTATATTATTTTCACCATGTTTAGGCAGTGTTCTTTAGCAGTATCTGTGCTTAGAGGCTGTGTTTAATACCACTTGGCAGAGAGGGAAGTGGTTATTCTTTTCATACACTTCTTGCAATAAAGTTGGGTGATGGTCTTTTATGACAAAGTTTGAAAATTGGTCACATCATTGTATTTTAAAAGATAATTTTTTTTTTCCTTGCAGGTGCACCTGTAGAGCCTTCTCCAGAGGAGCAGACAGCCTCTTGTGAAGGTAGTAATTTTTGTGATCATCACACTTTTTTTTTTAAATTATTGCAAATAATCTCTTTTAAGTCTCTATGAACTTTTTGCTATCCTTGTTATCCTCATACTGCTCTTGTAAGGCAATGTGATTATCTGTATTTATTTACAATTTCATAGGCAGTTAGGAAAGGCTCATAAAGTAGCTTATGGAAGATAATAAAACTAGCATGAAGCAGAATTTTTGAAATGAACCTGTATAAATGTTTTGACAACTGCCAAAACATTTGAACTTTCCTTTTATTAATTTAGTCATTCATTTTTCTTTGTTCTTGATTACTGTCATGGTAGGTATGTCTTTAATGATTAATTTTTCTCCCTTTTTTTTTTCTTCTAGGTTCAAATGCTGCTGTTAACATGGAAATTTCAGAATCTGTTGGTAAGATGAGAATTGTTTTTACTATTATAGTACTGTAATGTACTTCAGTGCTTCTGCTTAATCACTGCAAACAAAATAGTAGAGCCTTTACACTTACAAATAGTCCTTAATGTACTTTGTTGTACCTTTATACTTGGATGAGGAAAGAGGTAATTGAACACTAGTATGCATTGAGAGCTGCAACTGGATTGCTTGGACACTGTAAAATGATTAATGCTTTATTTGAAAATAATTTCATATTATCAAATAGCCCCATTAACATGAGTGGAATTGTGATTAGCAAAAAACTTTAAAGTGGTCAGCAATGTGAACAAACAGGACATGGAAATTGTATCTTTCTAATTGTTTATATATGGGTTATGAGTGAACTTAAACTATAATCCCTCTCCTTTGCTTTCTAAACATATGGTCGTGTGTGTCTGTGGATTCAGACTGTGCTGGTCTGAGTGGATCTTCAGATTTGCCTTTGCTTTCTAAAATTGTTGCCTTGTTAAAACAGAAGTTTCTGTATCCTAGATTTCTTATGTCAGCACACAAGCTAGCTTGAAAGTGCTGGTATTAATAATTTCAGAAATGAGCAGCAGCTGTCCCTTTTTCTATGGGAAAATGTTAACAAACATTAACAGTAGTTAAAGCCTTGTGATTGTGCCTTTGGGACAGGGGCTTTTCCCTGGGGTAATTATTTTTAATTTCTTTATCTATATGAATATATCTAATTGGTTCATTTTTAGTGGAAAATGGAGAGACAGAAATGTCCCCAGAAGAGTCGTGGGACCACAAAGAAGAACCCAGTGAAGCAGAGCTCGGAGGTGGTCCTGCAGGGGATGCGGGGCCTTCTGAAGAGAGCGCTCAGGAAATGATGGAAGAGGAGGAGGAAATACCAAAACCGAAATCTGTTGTAGCACCTCCAGGTGCTCCTAAAAAAGAGCACGTAAATGTAGTATTCATTGGACACGTAGGTAAGTTTTAAGTGAAGATGAAGTAGTTGGATCTGTCTGTTGTGTATTGCCTAGAATTCAGAGCATTAGAAATTAATGCTGTTCTTCATATTCACCATGTCTTGAGGCTCACAGGAGCACTCAATTCTAATGAAGCTGCTCTGGAAAAGGAAACATTTAAAGGTCTTTCAGGGGTAGAGGGCCACAATGCCTGTGTTCATGATTTCTCAAGTACCTGCTCCTGTTGAGTGCTGAAGTCACACATCTGTGTTTATGAGCTAAAGAACAAAATAAGAAAATTGTGCTGCTTTTCTGCTTATTTTAAATAAAAAGGGTTCTTGCTATTGCATTCAAAAATTATTATTCTAAATACCAAAATGTGTAGGGTTACAGCAATATATTAACATAATTGATGGTTAAAAGAAGCATTTATAGCAAAGTATCTTCATTTAATAGTTTTAACAAGCTTCATGAAAACTTGGGTGGTGTTAGAAGTAGAGGAGAATTATTGAATCACAAGTTATGCAACAAATTCTGTCTTTTCATTTCTGTAGTTACGTACCACCTTAAAAGTACTGTAATTTTGGTCCTTGGGTAAATTCAGAATGGAGTCACACAAAGTAAAGGGGCTGTGGGCAGAGGTACATCCCAATATTGAAGAGCAGCCCACACAAGTTAGGGACAAGGGATAAAGGAAGCAGAGGAGGGAATTTGCAAGAGCTTCCCACACTCTTGACCTTGGCTTTAGCTGGATCACTGCTTGGTGAGGGGTTTTTGTTATGGATAACGCTAAATTGATATATATGAAAACAGCATGTTCAAAATATGGTGTAATTTAATTGACAACAAATTATATTGAGAACAAGGGAAGGTGTAAGATGCTTTCAAAAACTTAAATCATTGTTAAAAAAATAAATCCTTTGGAAACAAACTGAGTTAGCTTGTAATGGTCTGCTGTTTCTAGAATTGCACATTGGTAATTACATGCATTAATTTTTTTTTAGATGCTGGCAAGTCAACTATTGGAGGACAAATAATGTAAGGAAACTTAAATTTTAGATTTCCTGTTCTTGTGAATTAAAAAACATCAGTTAAAATGAGTAATATTTTCTTTGTGGCATTAATCAGCATATGTTAATACTTTCATAACAATGTTTTTATCCCTGTCTATTGAGGTACTTACTGTCTTTGGAATTTCTTAATTCCACCATTGCTATAGGATTTTCACTTAATAGAAGCAACTATGCAAAAGCAAACATTATAAAATTTTTAAAATTAATCACCTTCTTAGAATGTGGCTGTTTTTCTTTGTATTTTAAAATGCATGCCTTATACTATGGGTTAAACTTCGTACTTTCTGTGAAGATTTTAAAAAATCAATATCTTCATTTCTCAGTCATAACAATCTGCGGGGATTGTATAAGTATGTAACTATTTGGAAATCCTTTTCTGCTTTCTGTAAAATTGCACTTTTATTTTACCTCTTCTTAGGTATTTGACAGGAATGGTTGACAAAAGAACACTTGAAAAATATGAAAGAGAAGCTAAAGAAAAAAACAGAGAAACATGGTATGAACTTCGTGAAGATAGTAGCACACTTTGCCCTTTATTGCAGTGAAACTGGTTTTGGTCTCTGTCCCGGTAGCCCTGGCTTCCTCCAGGCATGATGGTGCTCTTGTCCTGGGTGGAGTTTTTGTGGGCCTCTTGTTTGGTTTGGGTTTTGTTGTTTTTTGGTTGGTGGGGCTTTGTGGGGGCAGTGCGTGTATACAGCACATGTAGCAGCCTGATTTTTGTTTCAAACAACTCCTGCAAAATTGATTTCCTTTTTGATAGATTTCTCTTTTTGGCTGGAGGATAAAAGGGGTTCAAACGGCTCTGGAAAAGGAGCAGTTAAAGACTTCCTTAGGGGTAGAGCATCCTCAGGGGATGGGCATTGACCTGAACTCACTGAATCATGTGTGAGAGGGGGGAATAAAAGGTTGACATAGTTCTTTTCACCAAGCAACCATCGTCCAAGCAGTGTCTCTTCAGACACTACCCAGTCACTACAAAACAAAAGCTAAGGATGCCTACAGGCTGCTGTCAATGGTGAAAAATATTGCTGTGTTACACCAGCTCAGTGGAGTTATTACCACTTCTTTATCCTTAGTAAGAGCATTTTTTTTTCTTCTTTATATTCACTGGTTTTCACAAAACCTGAAGGATGAAAGTAATTTTTTTTTAAATTTCAGTTTATCTAATTGAAAGCTAACTTGTTGGCAGCCAGTGGGAAAAATTAGGAGGGGACGAGAGTCTATATAAGAAAAATCTATCAAAGATAGTGTAAATAAAGATGGTGTTTATTTCATAGCCAACTTCTGCTTAATATGTGCAAATAAATGAGAACTAGTAATTACAATTCTCAATAATTATATTATTATCATTAGTAGAACTAATGTTTTAGTTAATTATGCTGAGAAGGAAAAATTGTTTTGTATTTGATCCTGAGATGTTTCTGAGACTGAGGCAAAATGTAAATTATTTGAAGTTAGACCTCAGCTGAAGAACTTAGAAAATGAAAATTGTTTATCAGAATTTTTAAAAATGAATCCTTGTAGGTGTGTGAAGGAGAGCAGTCAATGGGCTCTGTAGCTCACTGTACTCACAAATCAGTCAGTTAAGTATTTCCAAGACCAACAGTGACCTTGCATTTAGCAATGCTGAGGAGGTTAAAATAAGTAACCAAAAATAAGGTCTCTTATGACTAAAAAATTATATATAAATATAATAAAAATCAATACAACAATAAAGTATTTGGTTTGGGATTTTTTTAGGTACCTTTCATGGGCCTTAGACACAAACCAAGAAGAACGAGACAAAGGTAAAACAGTAGAAGTGGGTCGTGCCTATTTTGAAACAGAGAAGAAACACTTCACTATTTTAGATGCTCCTGGACACAAGAGCTTTGTTCCAAACATGATTGGTGGGGCTTCTCAAGCTGATCTTGCTGTGCTGGTAAGGACAGATCAGATACTTCTATTTTGCATATGCTGTGGAATTAAGCTTCAGGTTTTTATTTTTTGTTTACTTCTTTATTCTTTTGGTTACTTACAGCAGGCAGAATTTTTAAATGTTACATTTACTGAGATGAGTGAGTTTTGGAGTAATTTAACAGCTTCTTAAAGCTGTCTACAGGTGTCATGTGATTTTTTTACATATCAATGCAGATTAATGGGTAATACTGAGACTATATCAGTGCATTTTGGAAGCTTTTTCTAGGTCTGAATACCCATATTTTTTTGAATAAGGCAGTATTATTGATTGTTCTGTTGAGAGAATTGTAGAACCTTTATTAAGATACGTATCTTTAATTAGGTTATTTCTGCAAGAAAAGGAGAGTTTGAAACTGGATTTGAGAAAGGTGGACAAACAAGAGAACATGCCATGTTAGCAAAAACAGCAGGTGTAAAGCATTTAATAGTTCTTATTAATAAAATGGATGATCCAACTGTAAACTGGAGCAATGAAAGGTGAGTTTAATATTAAAAAATTAATCTTACTTGAAAGATACTACAATAGAATAATCCCTAGGTAAAGTAATTTTTGTGTTCCATTATTGCTGAAAGAATGGTTGACTGGTGGACTAAAGGCAGAGGTTTTCCTGGACTGGCAGGAAAACCAGAAGCTCAGTGCCTAGGACAGTGCTTCTCAGTTAAGCTGCAAGTTCTGCACTCCAACATTCACTGTCAACTGCTTGGATCCATGCAAACATACCTAATAAACCCCATGCATTCTAGCATAGTTTAATTGTTGACTTGGAAACTTTATACTGAGTCTAAAAAGGAAGCAATTGTGTTTTCAGTAATAGAGTTTGCCAGAGTTGTCAGAGAACCTGCTGTGTGTTCTGCCCAGAATTGTGGAAGTTTTAGTGGGAAGCCATGAGGGCCTGTGCAACCTTGGAATGTCAGCCTGCTTCACTAAGAGACAATGGCACACCCAATTCTGTCTTGGTCCTGCCCCAATCTTCTGACATTACTGAACTCACCCCAAACTGAGAGGAGGCAGTGTGACAGAAATAAATAGCACAAAAGCTCCAGAAACTGTAGGAGATTGGAGGAGACTGAGCCAGCACTCAAGTGCCAGCCTGGAGCCTGACCTCAGGAGCTGTCTGCGTGGTCTGCCCTGCTGTGCTGGCCTGGATCTCTTGCTTTAAGCAGCTCCACCTTGTGCTGCTGCTCCCCAGCCCTGTCATTGAAGCGTAGGAAGAGCACTGATGATGCTTTATGGAGCAGAGGAATGAGGAGGAATAGGGGAACAGACAATACCGAGCTGTGCTGGAAGGCTGGGAAGAAGATGCAAATAGGCCTCCAGACCTTAATTAGGCTTGCTTGCTGCTCACATAGTAACTTAACTGATGGAACTGAAATGTCTGCATGTTTTTTAAAGCACAGGATTATGTTATACTGGAATCAGTGGAACTTACCTTGATCTACTTGTCATTTAATAGATATGAGGAATGTAAAGAGAAACTGGTGCCATTTTTGAAGAAAGTTGGCTTCAATCCCAAAAAGGACATTCATTTCATGCCCTGCTCAGGACTGACTGGAGCAAACCTTAAAGAACAGTCAGAATTCTGTCCTTGGTATATGTATGTATCTTAAATTGAGCAACTTGAATATTTGCTATATTTCAATAAAAGTAAATGCTTCAGTGAAGCTGGGAGGTAGCAGAGCGTGGTATGTTGTAGTTGTGTGCCAAAGTGCTTGACGAAATACGGCCAGAGCAACAAGAACACAGCCATGCAACGTGCCAATGAAAAGCCTTTGCAAACTGCGTAAGATTATTAATAAAATATTAGCAGTGTTCTTTGGCTGTGTGAGTGCCTTACGAGCACTAGAATTTGCCAGTGATGCAGCAGCTGATGTTGCTAGAATGAGTAATTGTTTGATGTGAACAGTTTGCTTGAAGCTGTATTATAATTAGGGACAAGCCATGTCTCTCAGTGGATGTCATGTTTTTCTATATTGTTCAGTGTACTTTAAAAAGAATTAATAGAAATCACATTTGGACCTAGCTTATGGTTTTGTATTTCCAAAATATATTTTGGATGCACATCTGTCATGAGTCTCAAAGGAATAATTAATTTGTGTAAAATATGCCTGTAATGTAACTTAAAATCATGCATTTCCTGGGTATTAATATGTTGGTTGGGTTAAAATGGACACTGCTGATGGGATGTTATAATAGATTTAACTGTCTTAGAGGTCATTTTTCTAAATGATAACAAGGTGAATATGATTCATTTTGTTGGACTGCATTTATCCATTTTGAGTTATTTATTTTTAAATGGAAGGGTACTCACGAAATTGAAACAAATGCCTTCTGCTTTTTTAGTGGATTACCATTTATTCCATACCTGGATAATTTGCCAAACTTCAACCGTTCAGTTGATGGACCAATCAGGCTGCCAATTGTGGATAAATATAAGGTACAGATTAAAATAATAATACAGAAAGTATAAAGAGACTGTTTTCAGAAAGCAGTAAATGGACTATTTACTGTACTTTTAGAGGGTATCTTTCTTCTTTGCTAATGTTACATTTCCAACTGTAGAATAGAGGAGAGAAGGGGAAGTAAACAATTTTGGCATTATATGAAATTCCTAAAATCTAATTTTTCATGAGAACAATTTCCAAAATACTAAGTCTAGCAGTGCTAGATATTCATAGAGTTAAGTAATCAAACTCAGAGATAAATCATGAATAGTGGACTCTTTAGGAAAATGTTTTCAGTTGCTATGTAATGATTTCTTTTTGTGAAGGACATGGGCACTGTGGTCCTTGGGAAGCTGGAGTCGGGCTCTATTTGCAAAGGACAACAGCTTGTGATGATGCCAAACAAGGTATGGTAAGGTTTAAATATTTAGAAAATTTACTGCCATAAAAAAGAGCTTTGTTCTTAAAGATACTCATTACTTTAAATCAGAAAATGTTCTGTTGCTCTGTTGAACACAGCTAAGCTCTCACATTTTACATGGGTGATGTTTCTGGGCACAGAGGGTGTTGTGTAGCTCCTTAACAGTCATAACTTGGGTTCTCCTACCTTAGTAAACTCAGTTCCTGGACTACAAATTATCACACTTCAACTGGATTTTATTTCATGTTTGTACAGTTGGCCCACTAAGCCTTTTACCTACTGTAGGTTAATACTGCTCAAGAGTTTATTTCTTTCCCCCTTTTATTTTTTTATTCTTTCCCCCAAAGGGAAACAGGAAAAAAAAACTTGAAAAAGAAAAAACTTCTTTTAAGAAATCAAAGTCTTAGTAATTCATCATTCAAATATTTTAAATGTTCTGAAGCTTGACAGAACCATATATATCTAACTTAAACTGTAGTAGAATTATTTATTGGAACTGTTATATTGCAATTTTGTTCCTGATTCAAATATTCACAATACAAAATAACATTTTTGTTTTCATTAAGCACAATGTGGAAGTTCTTGGAATTCTTTCTGATGATGTAGAAACTGACTCAGTAGCCCCAGGTGAAAATCTAAAGATCAGACTGAAGGGAATTGAAGAGGAGGAGATCCTTCCAGGATTTATTCTCTGTGATCTCAACAACCTTTGTCATTCTGGACGTACATTTGATGCCCAGGTAGAATAAGAACATTTAATTTCTGTATAGAGGGGTAAAACCCATGGAAATGTTTTATGCTTTGCCAAATCTAAAACTTTGGTAGTTTGAAGTTTCAGTTCATATTTCTTATTCACTGCTATATCTCTAAATGGGCAATAACATATATACTTAACACTGACATCTTTAATTTGAGTTTTAAAATCTAAGTTGTTTTGAATGTAACTTCTCAATTAAGTTTTAGATACTTATAATAGTGAAAGCAAGACCTCATCAGGCCAGTTCTTCAGTTTTTTACCTCCATATTATAAACTTATAAAATGTTGCTCTTTGACAAAAATTTATGTGTATATTGTGCAATAGACTTTTTAATATAGTTCTGCATTGATTATTCTCTGTTCTTTTATAACTGAAATTAGGAAAAATGCACTTATTTTGAATTGTTTTACAGATAGTGATAATTGAGCACAAATCCATTATCTGCCCAGGTTATAATGCAGTGCTGCACATCCACACCTGTATTGAAGAAGTTGAGATAACAGTAAGTGTCATTTTAAGTTGTGATGTGAATATAAACAATCCAGTTGTTGGGATGAAGAGTTATGTCATGTCATACATTTGTATAGCAGCTAAAGTAACAAAGCTCCAGCCTTGAATGGAATTCTTGGTTGTGCCCTAACACAAACAAAAATGGCTGTAACTGTTAGCATAAGCCTTCTGAAAAGTAGTGTATGTCATGACTGAATAAACCATGCAAACCTTTTAATGTATTTGTAAGTATGTTCTTTCTTAGACCAATTCTGTTTGTAAGGAAAAATAACCCTTATTTTCACACTCACAGCTATTTTTTTTCTCTTTCACAGGCCTTAATCTGCTTGGTAGACAAAAAAACAGGAGAAAAAAGTAAGACACGGCCCCGCTTTGTGAAACAAGATCAAGTCTGTATTGCCCGTTTAAGGACAGCAGGAACGATCTGCCTTGAGACATTCAAAGATTTCCCTCAGATGGGTCGCTTCACCTTAAGGGATGAGGGTAAGGCTGCTTCAGCAGCAGGTACTGACTGCTGCAAAAGCTTACTTGGACTCAGAGACCCATGGCAGTGAGGTATTAAGATACTGTTATCTAGTGGAAATCACTCTCTGGGTAACAATGGAAAAGTAAATCTAAGCAAACTTGTCATTGTGCAGAATCCTTGCTAGTAACAGAGAGACAGTTTTATTTGAATAGTGTACAGAAATATGCATTGTGAAACAAAAGACTGGATTTGAAAAATAACCAGCAGTGCTTTTTTCATGTGTCCTCGAACGTCCACCTACAATATGAATAACACAGTTTCACTGTTTAAAGTTTAAAAGTATCAGGGGGATTGTACATTGGGCTTTCACATGCAGACCCTGGTAAACTCACAGATTTGTGGGATGTGTTTAAAATAAATTATTTGAAAAGTAGTAAACAGATCTGGTAGTGATTCTGCTTTGCCTTCTCTTTAGATGAGTGTAGAAGCAGGCTTTACACAATCCACAGTGTGTTCTTTACTGTCAGAATAATTGGCTTACTATTTTTAAAATGTTATTGTGCTTTATTAAAATACACTGATGCTACAACATAATAATTCATTCTGTGATTTCCAATACTTGAGAGCCTGTATTTTGGGGCAAGTTTTCATGTTCTTGGAGATGTCTACATTCCTTTCACAGTAAATATAACTGCTGTTTGTCTCCTTGGTTTAGGTAAGACCATTGCAATTGGAAAAGTTCTGAAACTGGTTCCAGAGAAGGACTAAGCATTTTTCTCAATGACCCCGCACAATACTGTGAGGAAAATCGACTCAGCAAAAGCCTACTTCACACCGCCGTCTTATTTTCTGCCCATTGATAAACTTCTCCCCATATTTTGCAAAGACAAATTTCACAGCAAAGGTCCACATTATGTCAGCTTTCTCATATTGAGAGCTCTGCTATGCCACTGTTGAATTTTCCCAAAAACAATTTTTTTTTCTCCCAAATTCTGCTTCCTTGGAAAGATTCGGCAATAGCTTTGTAAGTGATGTGGACATAATTGCCTATAATTATGAAAATCTAAAGGATTTTTAATGTTTAATTTCCCCCAGCATCTATATTAAGACCTCTTTTTTCCAGGCAGATCATTCAGAGTGTGCGAGTGTGTGTGCACATGTTACAAAGATGACTACCATGTTAATAAACTATTCAATTTGAAATCTTTTTCGGTATTGGAATTGCTTTTGAATAATGTTTTTTATCCGGATGTAACGCAGTTGCATTAGCTTTTTAACTTCCCAGTAACCCAGATATTTGGTTACTTGGACTTTTCTAAACTCCTCAGCCTCCCCACACACACAGTTTTAAATGAGGCAATTGGGCACTCAACCAAGTTTGTATTAAAATAATTAGGTTTGCCCCTTCCCTTTCTTGAATGCATTCTGGAAATTAAAAAACATTCATGCAAATGTGGTACCTTCATTAGCTTTACATTTGTTAATATCTTCAGCAAATTAAGGTTGGCCTAACATCATTACTAGACACAGGAAGTCAATTTTGAAGACTAGAACTACATATTGTGTCTTTATAAAAATTCAGCATTATTAAATTCTTAACTGCAGAAAATGCTAACAACCAGTAAATCAGTGAAACTTGCAAAAATAAGAGAATCTGTGGCAATAGTGCCTATTAGTATTTATAAGAGCTACATTTTGTGGGAGAACTGGGCCAATTAAAAAGTGCCAGTTACATAAATTACTCAGTTCACCCTGTCTTTAATTTAGAGGGCCAGATAATCCTTGCTGTTTTAAAGACCAGTCTGAACTGAGAGGGAGAAAGACTATTTAAATCCCTAAGAGTTTGCACATACTATAATATGGGAGGGTCAGAATCAAGCACAGTCTGTAAATTTTTGCATATCAAAAAGCAATGTAAGCTTATGAGAACCAGTGAAGTTTTTTCTTGAGAAATTAAAGCAAAACTGGTTCAAAGTAAAGCTTACTCAGTACAACTTGAAGGAGCTGCATAATAAAACCCTATTTAGCTGCACTTTGAAAATGGACTGTCTGCAATTGCTGTCCTGATTCTAACAATTAGGATGAAGGCGAAGGGATTGTTTTTCATTTTTCAGAGTATTAGTAGTAATTATTAAAAGGTATCTTCTGAGCTTCTTCAGAATATCTTAAAACTAAACATTCTCAGCTGTAAAATTGGTGAGCCCATCTTCTCCCCCAAAGATTTACAGTCTAGTGACTGTATCTGAATTGAAACTCAAAACTGAAACAGATTTACATTTTTTTGATTTTTTTGTTTTGTTTTGTTTTGTTTGTTTCTTTGTAACTGTGGAACTCCCATTCATTTCACTTACAGCTACACTGTATGGACAGAAGAAATTATTGTCCTTCAGTTTCATATGACTACACTTGTAGCTACCGTAATGCATGGAATTTAAATAAATTTTATTATGTCTGCAAATCTCTGGGCTTTTATTTTTTTGGTAAATCAGGGTTTAAAAAGTAACTTTTTTTGTTTCTACCAAGTGAACAAATCCCACAGTTCCTTGGATCTTAAACTAATGAAGAAATTAAAAGCCAGGGAAACTTATTGTCTTGTTCCTATTCTGGACTAACAAGATTTCCAGATATCTGACTGCTTTCTTGAAGTAAGCTCGTGGATTTGAAATTTGCAGGGACCATTACTGGATAATACTTACAGTTAGATTCCTAAATTGCTAGGTCCTTTAAAACTTTTTTTTTCTAGATGATGCTCCAGCATCAGTTTTCCACTGTTGAGTAAACTTAATGTGGGATTTTAAAACTTCATTATTTTGAGGCTGGACTGAGTATTTAATATTAAACTGAATAATCACCTGGTGGGTTGGAGTATCAGTAGATAGAAAGTCAGTATCTCCATTATTCATCCCATCTACTGCATTTGATTGCCATTTCCATGATTCCAGTTAATGTCACCTGGTCTGTAAATGGAGAGGTTGTATTATTATAAATTCATTAACAGAATCCACAGTATGCAATTAAAGATATTCCTATCCTGTAGGAGGTTTTTATTTAGGTATAAAATATTTGCATTCTATAGCAAATATATGAAAATGTAAGGCATAAATGTACATGAATTGGCGGCATTTTGGGTAGAAGAGCTGGAAGTACATTGTGTTTGAATAGTCCTCGGCTTACATCTCAACTTTTTCATTTCATCTCCATTCTACATTTTATAGTCCCATTTTTGCTACTATTAAATACAGCTAAATCTAGATGAAAGAAGACAAAAAGATAATGTGGCTTTGTTGGAAATAAATACTATTTGCTGATTCACTGTAATAAACTTTTTTAAATTACCATTTTGAATATTTCCTTTTGTGAAAATGTGGTATGCTGCTTTGAAGATGATGATACAAAAATAAAGGAGCTATGCAACCACAACAGTTGAAAGGAAGGAGGAAAAAAAAAAGGAAATAAAAGTTGGATTGCCAATATAGCACCCCTTGGAGCACTGCCAGGGTAACTGCTTGCATGGAGTGCTGGCAGGGTATTCCCATGGTGTAGCTTTAATTCATACCAGCAAAATTCTGAGTGTGTTTCTGCAGAAAAGAGAGTTCGGGGGTTTCTTCCCTCAGTATAATAGCATTTGCAGTGTGGTCCTGATGAGGATCACACCTTTCTGATTGTTGGCCAAGTTTTTAGTGTAGATACAGCTAGAGTGCTTAGCCATGATATAACTTGAACTGAAAACCTTTGTATATGTAATAAATACTAAATAAAAAAAAATCTGAATGTGCAGCAGTACTAATGATTTGGCAACAGGAAAATAATTCCTTTTTTCTGCAAGCTCCAAGAAGTAAAGCACAGTAGCTGGAGCAATGGGGGCAGTGGTCAGTTGAGTAACATTGCCATCAACTGTCTACATGAAACCATTCCAGCTACTTGCTCATCTTAGCAGACAATCAGGAACTGATCCACAAACATGATGACACCAGTTCCTGAAATCCTTATCCTGGTAGTAAATTGTATTCCTGAACAGCAAGCTATTGATGATGGTGTAATAGTGTTGTAAGAAAAATAGCTGTTTTAAGGAGATTTATCCATGGGGATATTTGCTGGTCGCAGTTTTTAGCCCCTCTACAGAATTTTTTCAGTGGCATAAAAAGCCAAATGAAAATTACTCAATGAAGAACCTCTATTTTAGACTACTTACGACACCAGTCTATATATTAAAAATCATGTTAATGATGAGAAATGTGTTTTTATAAGTGTTTATTACTGAATATTACCTAAGAAGAAAATATTGTTTCAATGTCCCAGGTATTTGGTTTGTATTACTCTGGCTTTTTGGTTCATACTGCAGACTGTTGAAATGATGCTGTTAAAGCAGATGACATGTACTCCAGACAAGACTGTTTTCTTCCTGAACTGGTACTTAAAGGCTCTTACTTATTCTGCTCTTTTTGTATACTCTATAGAGGATTTGGTACAAAAAAATAATACCAACAAAACTGGAGTTACTACTGAAGATTTTATACTGTGAACATGTTTCTTTCCTTGTGTTTATTTTATCACACTATAAACCTGACAAGATACTACTTTTCCTCTGAAAAAATACTAGAAAGGATTCTAGTCTTAATATAAAATAGAAATTTATGCTAACAAACCCAAAATCTGTTGTCTGTGTATATATACATTTGATAATCCATATTCTTTCATTGGCTTTCCTTCCAATGTAAATTTTTCTACATCTCCTGTCAGTTCAATACACCCAAAAAAGTCCACCTACTTCTCAAAAAGAGTAACAAGAGACAGGACAGATTAACTGCGGTGTGACAAAAAGGTACTTGAGGCAGTGTTCCTGTCATTGTTAAGCCCCTAGAAGGGATGTGAGGCAAAGCATTATAGCAAGAAAGCTTTGCAGCTTTGTCCAGTCCTTTGGAACAGCCCTCTTGGTGCCTGTGAATAACTTGCACCAAAGCCTCGTGTCTGAGTCAGGTTACAGCTGGAGGCTGACTCCAGCACTGCAAAGAAAACAGAGCTTGAACTCTGGTCTAGTGGGGAGATTCTCTTCTGAGCTCTCTTGTAAAGCATTTCTTAGTCCTGTCTTAAACTCTGCAAACTCTTTGTGCTGGTTTTGTTGCAAGAACTACATTTATAGAGATCTGGGATTTTGGTATTGCCATCAAATAGTCTGGAGGAATACAAGCCAGGAAATGAAACTTGAATAACCTTAAACCTAAAAGACCTCTTAACAGCAGAAACAGTAGCACCTTTTGCTGTGTGAAAGTAGAAAATTAGGCATATAAAAAAACAAGTAATGAGATAGAACGTATTGAAATTATTTTCTATCGTAGCATTTAAATAAGCGACACAATTTTTTTTAAAGAAAAATACATACTTTCATGATCCAAAAAGTTAAATTGAGAGCTACAGCAGGACAGTGTACAGCAATAACACCGATAAAAGTAACAAACCTGATTTCCTTGCAGGAGTAACTATAAATTCATGACATTGCTAAATTAAAGGTGTACTCTTTTATAGTTCATATTCATTGCATGCTGTATTAAACTGAAATATTTCTTATAAACAGATTAACTTTTAATTTTTTCGAGACAGCTCTATTAGCTATCCCAAGCACCTTTCAAGAGAAAATGATTAGACTAAGTCAGTTAAACCACATCTGGTAAAATTTAGTTGTGTCAGACCAAAACTTTTTCAGAAAAATGTACTTGGATGAGACTGATTTGTGAAAAATTCAAATCTGAGTCACTAATAATAGTCCCTGCAGTTTTATCCTATTAATGCTATACTGACCCAGTAAAGTCAATGTTCAAACATGCTGTTCAATCATATCTACAGGACTAGCCTGGCTCATTTTCAGAAAGATGTTCCAGTCATCTGACCCTTTCTATTTTGTTTTAACGTCACATTAATATGTTGATATTTTATTAAAATACGGCAGCCCTAAAATGTGCAAAGATAGAAGCAAGGCTAATAGACAGAATATACAGTACCACAGCAAGTATCACATGCAGAAATTTCAGCAGTACTGAAAAGGCTTTAATGAGTCTGCCCTCCTTGGCTACCCTGCATGTTCCTCACCTTCAGTAATTTCTCTAATCAGTACTTCATACGACATGGCAACAAAGGACAGCTTTTCTATTTTTTAGCCAGTTTCTTTTTTGCTTTGATTTGGTTTTGGTTTTGTTCAAAAAACACAATAGGAAAGGAAAATTTCCATTTTCCAGGATGTTTTTATTCACTATTTAAAATCAGGGTATGTCTGTATAGTTCTTTCCTGTATGGTTAAGTCTTGATGCCGTCAACTATTCTTATATTGCTACAAAAACACTAACAGCAGAAAGAAAATATAAACCACTACATAAAGCAGCTTGCCAAGAAACTAGGGTATTTTAGTTTCTCTTTGCACTGGCCACACTGATGGAGCAACAAATTTTGTTGGAAGACATCTGATGAGAAGGAATAAAATCACACATAGAAAGGCAAAGAGCAGGAAAAAAATCTAGAGAAGAGTAAATGACTAAGACTCCTAATTTCATACATATTTAAGCCCTGGCTATGCATAGCTGTGTTATCCAGAGAGCAGTTTACCTGTGTGACAAATGCAGACAATCCAAAGCTGCCAGGACACACACAGCACTGTGAGAATGAGACCAAAATAATTCCAGGGTAGATTTTATCTCAGAAAAATCTACTTATCCAGCATGGAACTCAATGGAATAAGCATTCTGTAATTAAACTATTTCCATGTAGTCAATACATTTCTAAACTGAGCAGGAGAGGCAGGAGCTCTGCCTTTATTAGTCACACACGAGGAAGAAATGGTTTGACGTGATAATCAGTGGTTGCTCCAATGGTAGTGATTTGGAAATAGCCATGCTCAAGAAGGAGTGTATGAGGAAAATGAGCAGCAAAATACAGTTCCTGTAGTCCATGAGACAGACTCTAATTTATTCAGCAAACCAGTGGGCAGGATCCCATGGGAGGCAGCTCTGAAGGGCAAAGGAGCTCAGGAAATCTGGCAGCAGGTCTTTAAGGACAACCTCCTCCAATCATACAAATGAGCCTCCTGAATACTCAGCAAAACAGGTAGATCTATCAGGAGACTGGCTTGGATAAACAGGAGACTTATGACAGCATTCCAATGCAAAAGGACAGAAATACAGGAAGTAAAATTAGGGATAGTCTTCAAAGAAGGAATCTGAAGAACATGCTCAATTCTTCCCAAGCATGATGGTGTGCTGGGTGGCCAACTAGATGGGTAACCACTGTTCAGATAACAAGGCTTGTAGGGCAGAGGTAATGGCTTGTACTCCACCCGAAGGCCAGTAACAAATGGAGTACTGCTGGGATTTATCCTGGGCCATGTTCTATTTAGTATCTCTAACAGTGACCTGAAGTATGGTCACATCAAGTTTGCAGGGGGAATCAAACTTTGGACCAATCATTATCCTCATGAACAGAGGACCTAGACAAGCCGGAAAGACTCGGCAACACAAACCCGTCAACACTCAAAAAAGGCAAACGCAAACCCGCATTTGGGAAGGAGCAGCCCCTTGCACAACACAGGCTGGGGAACAGCTGTGCTGGAAAATGCCAGGAGCACAGCAGGCTAAACACGAGCCAGCCCTGGAAGCAAAGGGAGCCAGCAGCATCCGGGATTGGACTAGGAAGCACCATCAATAAAACTCCCGAGTTTTAGCGAGTCCGGCTAAACGCTTTTCACCGTGAGGACACGGTGGCTACAACACTGAGCAACCCGACTTGACCTCCGGCTGGCCCTGGTGCCGAAGCGGGGTGGACTGACGGCCCCGGAGCTCTGCCCCAGGTGCGCTTAGCCCGTGCCCCGCTGGGGCAAAGCTGGCTGCAGGCGCAGTCCGCGCCCGCCGCACACGCGGAGCCTCCCCGCGCCGGGCGCGCGGCGCTGCAGTGCGCAGGAGCGGAAAGCGCGGGCCGCGCCCGCCCCGGAAAGCGGCGCGCGCAGGCGCGGAGCCCGCACGTGGCGGCGGCGCTGGGCCATGGCGGGCGGCAGGGAGCCGCTGGACCGGGCCCAGGTACTGGGAGCGGCGCCCGGGGGCTGCGGGAGCCGGGCAGGCGGGAGCGCGGCCGGGCCGGGCTTGACCTGCGGCTGCTGCCGCTGTGGTGCCGTTGCAGGTGAAGAAGGCGGTGGAAGCTCTCTTGGCGTTCTCCAGAAGCAAAGCCAAGGGGGACGCGCTGCTGCTCAACGAGAGCGAGAGCGTCCATCTACTCGTGACGGTGTGGAAGGTCCCGCAGGCGGCAAAGGTCATCAGAATGTAAGACACTCATATCTGGTCGCATGATTATAGGGGTTGCTCATGTCCTTTGGCTTGGAAAAGAACATTGCAGATTCTGTGCTTAAGGGGTTTGACTGCCACGGCCTTGTCCTGGGAGCTTCTGTGCCGTGAATAAGAACTGCCGGGTCAGACGCTGCTTTACCCCTACTTTTGGTATAACTGAAAGCTGGGCTGTACCATCTTTTTGCGCAGAAGATACTGCTTCTGTTCGTTGCCAGTTACAGGGTATGTGCCTTTCCATCCTTTAGCTTTAGAAAATATCTAGGTGTTAATTATTTCTAGATCTAGAAAATATCTAGAATCACCTTCTTTGTCTTGACCCACCACCAAGTCATTAGTAATACTTCTTGTTTCTTTTGAAAACCAAACCTGAATATTAATTAGAAGTCTTCTTTTAGACTGTAGCTGCACTACATTGAGAAAGTTTACATCCGTTTATCAGGACCCCTGTGGTAAGGATAGAGGATTGTGTTTTGTATCTGACTGGAGCCATGGTGTTCCATGATTTCACTTTTACAGTTCTGTATGCTTATCAACTGTAGGTTTCACTGAGAATATTTAGTAGTTAACAAACTATAAATACAGACACTATGCATCTCATATTCTTATTGTAGACCGCTGCCCCATGGCATTCGACCAGAAACAACTGATGTTTGCCTGTTCACAAAGGATGAACCAAATTTATCAGCAGAACAAACTGAAAATTTATACAAGAAACTTTTACTCCGCAATGGGATCAGAAGTATTAGCCAGGTAAGGGAGGGCCTTGATATAATACAGTACTGTCATTTTCCTTTTATACCACCAAAAGAATACAAGTAGTTGTTCTTTTTTGCTGTCTAATATTCTAATTCTCATTCACATACTCTAGTAAGATTTTTCTGACTACTCAAACTGTGGTGTTTCTATAACACAAAGTTTACTTGGAATAATTTTTTGAGTTTGAAACAGGATTTTTAGTAATCAGATACAATTTCTAGATAAATGTTCAATATTTAGTTTGAGTAACCAACCAGGAAAACTCACATTTGATTGTTTATGCCGCCAACAATAAAACTGTATAACAACTTGTTGTATTTAACCTTGATTTAGATGTTATTCATGTACACAAGTTCTGTTTTGTGGCGTGCAGTTACTATGCAAGAGACCCATATTTTTTGATTCTTTAAAACAGTAGGAAATGGATACTTTTTGATTGTGTTCAGCTTTCTAAAAGAATGCACTGTGACGGACTATCAGTTCTGCAGCATTAATCTGTGCAGTTCTGAGAAGCATTTCAGGTTGCATTTTCAGCAGCAGGAACTAAACTGGTGCTTGTGTTGCAGATCATTTCATACAGAACCCTCAAAAAGGAGTATAAAATGTTTGAAGCGAAGCGGCGCCTCCTGAACAGTTTTGATCTCTTTCTGTCTGATGACCGAATTAGAAGGCTTTTGCCCTCACATCTAGGAAAACACTTCTATGAAAAGAAAAAGTAGGTCTTTAAACTTTGGAAATCCATTGTTGCATTATCTTTTTTAAGATCAGATTCTTCTTAGTAATGGAGGAATTGGTTTTCTTTTGGGTTTTCTAATTATTTCCTTTTTTTACCCCTCTCCCTTTCTGTTTTAGGGCACCTTTATCTGTAAACTTGAAAGCCAAAGATCTTGCCAAGGAACTAGAAAAACATATCCAAGGGACTACACTCCCAGTTAACAACAAAGGGTGCTGTTAGTAAGTACAAATAAATTAATACATCACTTGAAGGATGGTTCTGTCTTAAATGTAGGAATTTTAAATGAGTTATTTTTATTCCTTTAGTATGTGAATAAAAGATGTTCAGGGTCATTCCAAATGGGGGATGTTTTGAACCTTTACCTGTATAGTTAAATTAGTAGTTCTACTTCAGTTTTACTGTGAAGCTGAAGGGTTTTGTCTCTTTTTCCTTTTACCTAAGGAATTTCTAGGCACCTGTCACTGTCAAAGCGCGTGTACAATCTTAGTTTTAATCTAATTTAATAATATTTTTGTATTTCCAAAATACTCCAGTCTAATAAGATGTTTTCATGTACTGTGTATCTGAAAGGATCTGAATTGGTAGTAATGCTTTGTAATATAAGGCAGAAGTTGCATATCTAAATATGGAAAGATGAATACAGGTCAATCCCTTCTGTTGTCACAAAAGATTTTTGCAGTAGCCATCCCTTCTTTATGATTATTGCAGATAAGTGGGCCTTTTGCATTTCTGGGTATGCCTAAACTAAATAAGTGACTTGAAATAAATTTATTTGCCCATATATAATTACTGTTCATTTCTTCTTTCAGTACAACACGCATCGGTCACACTGGGATGAAAGCGGATGAGATACTTGAGAATATCATTGCAGCAGCAAAAGTGATTGGTAGCAAGTTACCAAAGGTACTGCTGATTGACTGCATTATAGACAAATAGATTCATACTTCAGCCTTATTTTTACATAATATACTGGTTTTGTTTTTGCAGAAATGGAAAAATGTAAAAATTCTTCACGTCAAAACACTTAAATCAGTTGCACTCCCAGTATTTACTGCGAATATCTCCAACCTGGATGAGCTTGACAAAGAGCCATCGCTCAAGAAAAATGAAGTAAAGGTAACCAAAATTTCTTCAAACTTTGCATAAACTAAATAGGTACATTTAGTTCTAGTTCTTTGTTTTCCTTCTGTGCATTGTTATGTTGGGTTTAAATGTATTAGAAACTGATCCCAGGCTTTACATCTACTACTGGATAGACACGCCTGCCTCAGTGCTTTAAATACTCAGTAACAATAAGAAATTATGGAAACTCACTTACAGGTTTTAAAGCAAACTGGAAATAAATAAAGTATTTCTAGACCTCAAGGGACCTGGGACTCATTCTTAGAGCTTTGCTTCTATTGTTTATCTGTATTTGCCTTCTGAAAATACACTCATTAACATATGTGGGTTCAGATTTCGCATCTGTTATTTGTTGGTTAATCAGTGGCATCTGAATAATTCTCAATCTCATATATTTGTGTATATAGGGAGAGCTCATACTTGTTAAAAAATAATTGGCTATTCCTTTGTACTGTTCTGTTTATATTAATTTGTCTGAAATTAAATTGGGACCGTGCATATTCAACTTACAGTAATGTCAACCTTAAAGTCTCTAGTTGTGAGCTATTTAAAATAAACTTCTGTGTGTAAGGCATTTTTTCATATTTTATTCAATAGACATGGACTAATCAACCATATGTAAAAGTCTTTAATGTTGCTACACCATCTAATTTTTAACGACATTAAAACAATTATTATACATTTAGAAATGGTATGAGGATTTGTCTGAGGTGTACTTCTGATTAATTCTAGAAGGCAAAACCCAAGAAAGAAAAGAAGACAACTAAAAAACTGAAGCCAAGTCAAGTCGCTGTGACAACAGAAAGTAAAACTGCTGCTGGTACCCAGGAGCCTGTGATAAAAGAAAAGACAGAAATAGTCCAAGAACCAGGAGATTGTGATGATGAAGAAATTCCACAACTGGTGCCTATACAAACGAAGAGCTCAGCCAACATGAAGGTAGTTGTTGAATAATATTGAGAAACTTGCATTTCAGTTAAAACTAAATATTTTGAATTGTTTAAATTGTTCATTGCTCCTTAGGGAACAGGAAGTGTTAGCACACTTCAAGTAGACTATGGTGCAGTTCAGTTGAAAGTATTTGTCATTTTTAAAAGTTTTCACTGATCCTTCTTCCTTAAAAACAAGAAATATGTTTCTTGGGTGGAATAGTAATTTTTTTGTTTGTGTTAAACACAGAAAATGGGACCAAATCCAGAAAAACGTGACAATTTGGGCAAGAAATCCAAAACACCCCTTGGTAAGAGAAAGAAAACATCTCTCGTGGATACTCCAAAATCAAACCCTGATGTTACAGAAGAGTGTGCAAACTTGCAGACGCCATCAAAAGAGAAAAAAGCCAAGCAGGTCAGTAAGCCAAAGGAAGCAATAAAAGAAAAAGACATGAAAAAGGCTCCAAAAAAACCTGAAGCAAAGTCTTTTGCAACACCCAAAGCTGGCAAGACAATACAGTCAGCCAGGAAGTCTTCAAAACCACAGAAGCGGGCACCCAAAAAGGTGCGCGTGCCGCAGTCAGCATGAGCGTTGTTTGTTGTAACATGTTTTGTATCATCATTCTATGGTCGATTTTCAGTAAACAAATTTATTGATGAAGTAAAATACCTTCTTAGGAAATCTGATCCCAAGAGCTTTTTTTACCAAAATCTGTAATGACTTACTGGTTTCCTTCTAATTTACAAGCTGGTACAAATAAATGGTGATAGTTGAAAAAGGTGATGACTCCATCACCTTTTATCTTTTGCTGGCCCAAAGCAAAAATTCTCAAATTTTTCAAGTGTTGAAGGGAGGGGTCTATCCCACAGAAAAAAGTCTGAGAAATATTTTAATAAATGCTATCTTTTTGAAGCAAGAAGCATGTGTGCCAAGAGCAGCAATCTGCATGTGCTTTTAAAGGTGAAAAAACTGCTATAGTTTTTTAGAAAATTGTTCAATATAATAAAGACAGGTTGACAGTGATTGGTGTTACTGCAGATATCTAACTTAGCAGCCTGATACCAAGCCCCACATATTCATTTTTAGCTGTTTTTACCTAGGGTATTTGTGAGTTTAAAAGGCACCAACAATTTTGCTTTAACTGTATATATATTTTACAACATCAAGCAAATTGTTACCTTCAGTTTTGGGCTTCATTTCTGCTACCAGAACAGTTGAGAGCATTTCTGCAAGATGGTCACAGAACTGTTCTTCCACCTGAAGAAAGCCAAAGGCACTGTGAGTTCTAGTTGTGCCAGCCAAGTGAACTTGTACTGTTAAGGCATGAAAAATACATACGTCAGGACTGAAAGGTGATATATTTGCAGTTTTACACAACTGCCTAGTTGTTCTGTGTATGATAACTTGTTTGGCCTTTGCAGAGTGAGAATATGAGGCAGATTTGTATTGAAAAGTCCTAGTGGTAAAACCTCCAAATAGGAAAAAGGTGGTAAGAGACAAGATTAATCAACAGGAAGTAACTACTTTGTCATTGAAAAAACCCTACCACATCTCCTTTTTATGGCACCCTCATAACAAGATATTGGCTACCTAGAAAGAAAGTGGATGCTAAATAAGAATATGAAAATATTCTGCTTGATCTGTGGTGTCAGCTTTGTTTGACCCTTTTGCAACCCTGCCTTTTTGTAGCTTTTCAACTATTTTGTGAACCAAAAGCTATTACAGTAATCCAAATAAACAGCACTAACTGTTACTGGCAGAGTATCAGCAGTATAATTTACTGCAAACTATTTCCACTAAAATGTGGAAGGTACCTATTCTGTTAGGCCTAGCCATAGTTCCTGTTGGCTGGATATTTCTAGTTACTGGAACAATGGATCATTAAATAAGGTGTTAGAATAAGGCCCTTGTGAGAGCAGGCACAGGAGATCCTATATCTAAATACAGTTCTTATGCTTGAGGACGTGGGAGTGTAAAAAGATAACATATCAGATCATTAACACAAGGGTGAACTGAAATTTGTGTTTTGCCTTTTACATAACTTTTACTTACTGAATTTTGCATCCTGCATTGACAACTCGTTTCCTGTTTGTCAACCTGAACTTGGATTCCAACTTTTTCAGCCTCCTCAAGCACAGTTAAAGGGGTCTATATGCATTTGTAGATGCACATTGTAACTGTCTTGCAAATCTCTGCTGTCTGTGACCAGCTTGCCTCCCCTTGCAAGTGCAGAGATGAGCGAAGTGGATGTTCATCTGCGGACCACTTTTTGGAGTGCCTTCCTTCTAGGGTGCCCGAGGTGTCACTGCCTCAGCTGGAGCAGCTGAGCAGGCCCAGCTCACCTGGGAGCAGTAGTGCACTACTCGAAGAGAGGCCTCGGCTCCCAAATGCCATTGTTCGCTATGGATCAGTCTCCGAGCCCCAGGGTGGCGGGCTGGGGGCTCGGCGGGGCCGGTGAGGGCGGCGTGTGCCCGCCTTGCCTCCCCTGTGCGCTGCGGCCCGAACCTGCCCTCAGGTGCAGGGGCGCGGTCTGAACCTGCCCTCAGGTGCGGGGGCGCGGCCGAACCTGCCCTCAGGTGTGGGGGCGCGGCCGAACCTGCCCTCAGGTGCAGGGGTGCGGCTGAACCTGCCCTCAGGTGCGGGGGCACGGTCTGAACCTGCCCTCAGGTGCGGGGGCGCGGTCTGAACCTGCCCTCAGGTGCGGGGGCGTGGTCTGAACCTGCCCTCAGGTGCGGGGGCACGGTCTGAACCTGCCCTCAGGTGTGGGGGTGCGGTCTGAACCTGCCCTCAGGTGTGGGGGCGCGGTCTGAACCTGCCCTCAGGTGCGGGGCCGCGGCCGAACCTGCCCTCAGGTGTGGGGGCGCGGCCGAACCTGCCCTCAGGTGCGAGGGCGTGGCCCGGGCGGCCCTTCAGAGGGGGCGTGGCCGAGGCTCCCCTCAGGTGTGGGGGCGCGGCCCGGCGCTGCCCTCAGGTGCGCTCCGCCCTCGCCTCCCCTCAGGTGCGCGCGGCCCGAGGCGGCGGTGGCGCCGCTCCCCATGGCGGCCCCGGGCGGGCTGGGCCGCTGCGTGGCCGCCTTCTGGCTGGCGCTGGCCTTCGACGCGGTGGGGCTGGCGGTGCTGCTGGCCGGCGTGTTCGCCGACGTGTTCTTCTCCGACCTGCTCATCTACGCGGGCGGCATCGGCATCTTCCTCAGCCTGGTCTGGTGGGTGTTCTGGTACGCGGGCAACCTGGAGGTGCCGCCCGAGGAGCTGCGGGACGACGTGGGGCTGTCGCCGCCCAAGGGCCGCGGGGACACGCTGCTGCGGCGGCTGGTGAACGGGCTCAGCCTCCGCCTCACGGCCGCGCTCGCCCCCGCCCGCCCCGCCGACCTGGAGCTGCGGCGCGCCCAGGGCCCCCGCGGCCGCCGCGCCGACCCCGGCAGGTGAGAGCCGGACGGGAGCCCGGGGCCGCGCGGCGAGGCCAGCCCGGCTGTCGGCTCTGCCTTCGGCCACAGCCTGCGACAGCTCGCTTGCCCGGCATTCGGTTTAACGCTTGCTGGGTTAAAACACCTGCTCGCAGCTGCCACGTCTTAAATAGAAGTAGTGGGGAGTTTTTCTCAGCTCAGGTGGTATAAAAACGAGTGGGAAAGATTGCACAAATGGGATTAGGCGGGGAAGGCGCTTCCTGTAGCCGTCTGAGAACGTAGCAGGTGACCCGGAGTGAAGCCCGGGCAGTGCGGTGGCGTGCGGAGAGCTGCGGCCAGAGAGCAGCACAGGAGCCCTGGCGCTCTGAACTGGTCCTCACAGCAACCAAATCCTGCCAGGAAGGGCCATTAACCACTACCCCGCACGAGCTCTTGGGAGGGGAAACCCCCTCGTTAGCACCGTGAAATAATGCTTTATTGGAGAACAAAAAAGGTGAAATGATGACTTGGATTTAACTTGAGGGCAGAGCTGTAGGTAAGAGGTTGAAACTCAAATGTAGCTATCAGTTAAACTGTTTGTCTTAAACCTCAGACATATAGAAAAGATGTGATGATACCTGATGTGCAAAGGAAGTGTCTCGGTCCTATTTCAAAGCATGGTTGAAGAACATGAAGCTTTTCAAAATATCCTCGTATGTTCATTTATGTGGTGTGTTCACTTAGGAAGAAAAGCATGCATAATGCCTTGAAACTGTTTGGGGAAAAAAGTCAAGCCTTCACTTCACTATGTAAAATCCTCTATTGAAGGAACTGTAAACACAGTTTTGTACTGTTTGAACTGTTTGAGGATTCTAAACATCTTGCTGTTCTGATTCACTATGTACAAGATCAGCTTTTCCTGCTTCTCCTTGCAATTAAATTCTGAAGACACTGTTGACTTACAGAAAAATTCATGTAGAAATCGTCTTCTTTCATGACAGCTATGAAATTTTTCTTGAGAGAAAGTTTTAACAGCAGGGAGATTGAGTATAGATAATTATTCCTTAATAGAAGACTTGTAGGAGGCAGGAAAGAACAGCAGCAACACGACTTTCAAAGATTGTTACTGCTCTTTAGTTTATTATTAACTACACCTGCAATTAGACTGTTGAAAATGAGCCATTCTATTTTCAGACCTCTTTTTTTCTGAAAGGGGTCTAAAACTGGCAGGTCGATATTTGCAGGAACAATATAAATATAAATGACTACGCAGAACGATTCCATCTAAACATCATGGCAATTGCAGGTATTGAGCTCAGTAGGTAATTTGCTATCTCTGTAGATGCACTGTGTGTACACGGATAGGTATTCTGTTTTAATGAGCTCCTATTAGTGGAAGTTATCCACTATTTTGAAATATTTCAAGTCTTATTTCTGATTGTAATTAGATTTACATGTCCTATACACTCACACACACACACACATCTATATATATACTTAGTACAAGATATCCCAGTAGCTTCTGTTGCTACAGTAAACAACCTTCAGTAATGGTAATTCAGAAGGAACCAAAACCAAAACAGGGGGTGTACAGCAGTTATGTTACATATTGGAACATAAACTCTGGGATTTTACTTGCAAGGTGAAACAAAGAATAACAAATGGTTTCACCTTGAAAGATAATTTAGAGTTCCCTTTCAAAGTAAGTTCACCTAAAGTATCTTAGAACTTCTCATAAACAACTGTCTGAATCAGGTCATTCCTTGCTGATAGACCAAATCCTCTCCCCATCAGGAGATATTTATGAACTTAACCAAACGGGTTAAACATGTTTGGGCAGATATTGCCTGAGAAGGAAAAAAACCAGCACCCCACACACACACATTCAGAAACAAAACAAAACAAAATCCTAAAAACAAAACAAAACAAACCCCAAACATCCTCTCTTTATTTTCATTTGGAAAATTTGAGCATTAATTTTTGAAGTTATGAAAGGAGCATTCTACATTGTTCTGATTTCCCGTCTTAAACATTATACAGTAGACAAAGGTGAGAATTTTCATTACATGGAATGTTTCTATTAAAGGAATAACAAGTAGATTAGGATCCTCAAGCCTGAAAAGAGATGCAGAATATAAAGTGTTCTAGAAGTCTATGCAGTCACTGTGGGAAAGGTATGAAGTGCTTGTCTCCCAAGGCAAAGCAGGCACAAACTGTCATGTGCTATGTAAGTGAAGTATGTGATTACTTGACATGGGACAGTGGGACAGATAAAAATTTACTGATTCAAAAATTCAAAGGACAAAGCAGAAGATACATGATAATATAAAGATAATATATTTGGCTAAGGAAGACCTGGGGCAGTTGATATCCTGAGGAGATATTACTTGTGTGCCATGTTGTTATGCCTTCATTGAGACATCACACTTGGCCACCATTGGAGATGGGCTGGTGACTTAATGGATCTTTTCTTTGGGTTCCAGTTGGCTGTTCAATATGAGGAAAAGTACTTTTAAGACTGACTTTAAGTAACAGTTTAGAGTTATATTTGTTCTAAGCCTATTTTGGAGTAACCATTTCTTCATGTGTTACCTTCAGGATCTGTTGAAGACATGACTAAAGATGTTACGGCCCCAAAAAGTGGGGAAAATGCTGCAAATTATGGAAAGAGATTCCCTACTCAAGACAGTAGGATTCTCTCATTGTGGAATAACCTCTGCAAGCATTGTGGACTCTCCATAAAATGGACACGTGGAGCCATATCTCTGCCAAAAGCACCTATTTCAGTGTTGGACTGGCTATGCTTTGAAATGGTGAAAAAAGATTCCACAAAATCTTTTTGAGAAGTGACAGCTAAAGAGAATTGAACCTGATTCACTGAAATGTCAGTGCAGCTTGTCATATGGTTTTATTGTTTTGTTTCAATTATTATTATTTTCAATAACCTGAAAGGTTTGTATAAAAAGCTCTTGCACAATGAAAAGCTCTTGCACTGTTTTTTACCAAGGTCTGGAAGTTAAACTTACTGTGAATTTTTATAATGCCAGTGCAATACTTTTGTTTGTAAGGGTGCTTTTAAAATGTCTATATTAAATTGTTGACGCAAAGCTGCAAATGTAGTAGAAGTTGTCTATAGTGTAAATACACAATTTATAGCATCTCTTGTAAAAAGTTTCATTGTTATTCTGAAATAACCTGGAATCTGAGACTTTATAAGTAGACACCAGTGATGTTGGTATACAAGTACATTCTTTGTAGTAACAAACGATGTAATATGATGACACTTGCAAGAGTCATTTTTAGTCCAGTGATGTTGGAAACTATTTTCCTAATGCTGAAGCATTTGAGAGAGGGAACATGACCAAAAGAAA